TCTATCTATCTATCTATCTATCTATCTATCTATCTATCTATCTATCTTCCTACATGTAGAAAGATAATTAAAAGTTATGCCTAACTTATAAAGCTCCAAATTAGCTCCATCATAGCTTAAAGAGCTCATAATTAGATATTTCATTGACAGAGAAATTTATTTTCAGAGTGCAGATGACAGTCTTCTTGTGGTACCAGTGTCACATCTCTCTAACAGCAGAATAGGTGGCAGAGTTCCTCTCTTACGAGACCTGCTGCCTGTATTTTTCAGGGAAGTAGGCAACATTGCTAGCTTTAAGATGAGGTTTGAAAATGTTATTTTTGATAAAGCTCAGTGAGTTATGCTGCCATAAACTAAATTGCTGGGGGAGCTTCAATGTTTGCCCCTTTTTTCATGTACACGAATGAGACATTGTTGTGAAATATCAAGAATCCTTGAGCTGCTGTTGTTGTATTTGCTGTGCTTTTTGGCTGTCATCTAAAATTGCCAGAGGTTTCTTCCTGTTGAAAGAGTGTTTTCTTTCTACGGTCACCCCATGCACAGTCAACATCATTGATTGCATCAAAAAGAAGATTCAGCACAATCAGCTGGTTCCCTTGGTCATGAACTTGTTTTGTATAAAATGCATGTATTTGGAATCAAGCAATTGTTATTTTACTTGAATTAATTACATTTTGATTGAATAACATATAAGGCATTCTAATTGCTTTGAATTAGACGTTTTTAGGTGCCTACAGTTGTCATTTGTTGGGATTTGGCACAATCTATAGAATGGATAACTCTCTGAAATTCCTTTTGGATCCTCAGGTCTCTTTAAAAGTCTTATGACAGATTTTTTGTACAATTACAAGTACAATGTAATGCCTGAGAAAACATGAATAGAAGAAATTCTAAAAACCCTTCATTTTTTCCTGGCCAGTAATAATTCTAAATATTGTCAGCTGTGGCAAACTGACTGATGTACAACTTTTCACACTTGCAATTGCAAGTGTTGGCCCTGTGCCATGCATACTCTTGTCTGGCATTTGGAATTCTTCGGCTGTTCACACAGTTACTCCAGCCCCAGTCAATTCCTATCAACAGCAATAAAACTTTATAAAATAAACATAGTGATTTAAACAAATACAATATAGTCTACAGCAACCCATGTACAATCAGAACACATTTTTTTCCCCCTCTTTAAGGTGTGCAAGATTTACAATAAGCCTTTTATGGGATGGCATTCCTTCTGAATTTCACTTTCTCATGCTTTTTCACTAAAACTTTTCAATTCAGTTTGAATTTGCCAGGAGCTGGGAGCCTTCCTGTGTAGAGTTTGCATGTTCTCCCCAAGTCTGCTTGGTTTCTCAGCTTCCTCCCACAGTCTAAAAACACGTATGTTTATTTCACTGGTGACTCTAAATTGCCCCAAGGAATGAATGTGTGTGTAGTTGTTAGTATCCATGTGGCCTTGTGGTAGACTGGCGACCTGTTCAGTGTTTACCCTGCCTCCTGCCCAATTACAGCCCCCTTAGTGGCCCTTTTCAGAATAAACAGTATAGAAAAAATGATGAATGTCTGTACTATATTCAGTTAATTAAAGCTTTGAGTGATCAGCAAAAATTGCACTATGTTCCTGCTTGTATTTTACATAGTAAGAGCGGTTTGATTGTTTGATTGCCAAGTGGACAGAAAATCTTTCACATGTGAAATGTTCTCCTACATTTACTTCACTGCTTGCACTGTCTAGTGTGGGAGGAGGCATGACTTATAGTCATGATAGGAAGCAGACCCCTCCGCACCTTGTTATCAGAATCCTGGTACCAAGTGGAGCTTGGTGTATGTGCATAAGAAAAATAAGAAAGCTTTCAAGTGGAGAAAGGGGGTTCTGTTCTGTGCAAAGGCCTTTTTCTTCCTCCGTGAAAACCCTTTCTTTTCACTTCTTAGATAAGCATACAATTTTAATCCTCTGTCAGTGAAAATGTTGAGGACAAGAAGTTT